TCTTCAAAAACTATGCTAGGGCCTTTTGTTTAACCTAGAACTTTAAATATATAATCTTTCCAATTTGATGAATAATAATAAAAAATAAAATTTAAAATACATCCTAATAAGTATTTTTTTTACCTTACTTTAACATAGGCCGTTCATTTAGTTAGATTATTAAATCTAGGACTTAGAAGGAGCTTTTTATTTTTCCAAATTTTGTAGATGGCTTTGTTATCATTAGATTAACAATGTTAACAAAGAAAAAACTGATTTTGAGTCCCTAAAGTCATAGATTTTAAAATTTCACCAAATGCATGGTCGAGATTCATTATTGGACGGAGCTCATTTTGACAACATGTAAGATGCAAATTGTCTTCTTTTTTTCCTTTTTTTTTTTTTTAAAAAAAAAAATTTTCATATATATATATATTTTTGCGATTGATTGTTGGGATGAAAATAGTGCCTATGCTAAATTTGGATTCATATAAATGCTGCAACGGTGGTTTTCTAGAAGTGAGGTTTCACTATATTACAATGACATGGTGACACGAAGGCACACCCAGATAATAGACGGACGGTGGAGATTGCAAGAACATGTTGCAATCTCCACCGTCTAAGTTGGACAATGAATGTTTTATGTGGGCATGTAGGGTTGCCCTCATAAAAATTACATCACACACACATACTAGAGACACACAAGGTCAGGTCTAGGTCAAGTGGACTGACTCGGTCCACTTATTGTGTGTCCAAACCTAGACTTGGGTCAAGGCATCCCTTTGGTTGCTTGACCTGGCTTACACTTGGTCTAAATATGTGGTTAAGGCCTGTTTTCTAGCATAAGTTCACGTCGAGTTGTATTAGTTTGGTATGGATTCGATGTTCATCATCAGCATTATTTTAAAATTGATTGAGTCGATTTAGAATCATCCGAGCCCAGTAAAAACCGGTAGGGTATCACTCTTGGTCCAAGACGCCTTGGTTTTTTATAAATATCACTAGATGCCATAGTTTTCTCTTTTTATTTTAATCTTTTAAGAGAAAATCCCAAAAAAACTGACAAGCCGGCTCCAGTGATTTTGAGCCAGGTTTGAACCGAAACCAATAGGTGACCCTTTCAACCCACAAGACTGTTATTTAAAACATTCCTCATAAGCAGAACCTATTAAAGGTAAAACCTCATATCACCCGACTCCCCACTCTTATTGAATAATCACATTAATAATCTCTCCTTTCATCTTGTTATTTTAAAAATCACCAAGTCGGCTTTGAACCATCTGAGCTAAAAACCAGTCTTGGTCCAAGATCCTTTGGTTTTCGAAAAGTATCACTAGATCCCGTGCTTTTCTCTTTTTATTTTAATTTTTTGAAAGAAAATCCTAGAATAACTCATAAGCCGGCTCCAGTGATTTTGAGCCGAAAGCAATAGGTGACCAGTTTGATCCAGAGGTCTGATTCTTAAAACATTGATCATAAGCAAAACCCACTGACGTTTAAAACCTCATATCACCAGACTCCCCACTCTTATTGAATAATTACACCAATAATCTCTCCTTTCATCTTGTCAACCCAATTCCATTGGTTGTTTCTTATGGGGACCGTACTATTAATTGTATTAACACCACCGCTTGTTATGGATCCACTTTAATATAAATAGTTCAAGATCCTTGTCAATGACAAAATAAACACAGCCTAGAATGTGTTTTTAACTTACGAGCATATATGTGGTCCTCTCACAGGAGCATATTGTACACTTACTCCCTCAATTTGAAGACGTATACAACTGGATATTCTTGGTCAAAATTTTTCGATCCATTTTAAAAAGACTGGATTTTAGTTTTTTTTTTTTGGGGGGGGGGGGGTCAATACTGCCAATCACATTGGATTTTCAGCTCTACTTCAAGGTTAGAAGCTTTTTAAAGAAAAGAATATAGGAAATTATTGCTATGTGGAAGTTGATTTAAGGAATATTATCAAGTGGTGTAATATGGAGCAATGTGTGCCTTGGCAGTTTTAGATCAATTTGGCTACAAATCTTTAGGCTCCATGGCTTCTTTGAGGGTTTCTTTTCAGCATGTGTATAGAGAGGTTAATGATATAGTTGATACTCTTGCTAAAAGGGGTGTTGCTCTTTCTTCGATTGGTTCGGAAGATGTGATTTCATTGATGTAATATCCTTTCATTAATAAAAGTTCTTTAACACTGTCAAAAAAAAGAGAAAGACGATCAACATTCAACAATTCAATATCGTTTTCTTCTTCTTTTTTTTCTTTTTTTTTGAAGTTAGTAAATAAGCAGAGAATGTTATATTCCAAAATTTAGGATCCCAACAAAACTTCTAAATACAGTTTTACCCAAAGAAGTAAATGTAAGAAATGCTCCCGCGGGAGCACATGATCTTTTTGGTTTAACTAAGAGATGGTCAACTATCATAATCATAGAATAAGAGAGAGAGCGAGAGATACTATACCCATAAGGCCATAACAAATGGGTTTAGGTTGCCACATTACGTGAAGCCGTCCTCCCATGAAATAATAAAATGAGAGAGAGATGGTTGCATGGCGATCAAATAATTGGATATATATGCTTTTCTGCATGAAAACCCATGCAAATTATGATGTGATGGACCAACTGGTAGTGTGAATTATTTATGTAGACACTAGTACTTGGTTTTTTAAAATAAGGAGATTAGTTCAACTGCTCTACGCTGTTAGAGAGAGAGAGAGAGAGAGAGAGAGAGAGAGATAATAGAGAGAAAGAGAGAGAGTTATTGTGCTTGGAGCCTGGGAGAGGGATTCCGGTGTCCTAGATAAAGTTGAAAATTATTAACAAACCAATTAAAAAAAAAGATGAAATTTTTGGAAGGCCTAGGCTTTATAAAAACCAAATAAAGCCACACCTCATATCTCGTTTGAAAAGCACCTTCAGCAACGAAAATCGTCATAATACTTCTAAAATCAATTTCCAACACCAATAATACAATTGAAACTAAAAATATATATAGATCTTGTGGGTCTTTGAACACTTATTCTTAAGGCAAAATGAATAGTCTAGTTAATTTATCAAAATATAACAATTTTTTTTGACGACTTTTTCTTTTCATAGCCATCATGTTCAAATCGTGATGTTCGATGTAAATAGTTTCCAATGCTTGAATTGTAATTTTTTATGAATTATGAGGTGGGGCTTTACTTATTTTTGATAGAGCTGCAGGCCTATGAAACTATTTTCCTTAAAAAAAATATGAAACCATAGATGATCAGTCCTTAATTTTATTTACGAAGACAACAAAGATTCCCCATAGAGGAAATGCTCATTGACTATTGCAAATAACTATAATTACTTCCTCTTAAAAAATGAAAAACTTCCTCTCATAAAACTTCTCTCTTGTTTTATAAAGAAATAAAAAAATAAAATAAAATTACTCACCCAAAAAAAAAAGAAAAAAAAAAAAAAACTCTCTTTTGTTTTATATACCCATGTGAGAGGAATCATAGGGGGTTGGGGTGATGACAGTGGCCCCAAAACACAAACCCACTTTTTATTCCCTTTATGGTGCTTCCATTAGCTATTATATAAACCCATGCTTGTCTCTTTAACTTTGGAACTGTGTATTGCATTGAGAGGCAAGCAATGGCGATGAGAAATTTGCTCAACCACGCAGCCTTTCTCTTTCTATCTCTGTCCCTTGTTTCTCAAATTGCAGCAAAGGAATGGCCAGTTGGAGGATCAACTAGGTTCTATGATTTTAAGGTCACATACCTCTACTGCTCTAGGGAGAGTGTACAATAAAACTAATTACCTTTCTCACACCTAGTCGTCCGATATGAAATCGAGCAGTTGGCGATGTTAGATTGACCGCACTGAAAGTCTGAGAAACTTTTCTTGAACTTTGTGAGGAAAAAATGAATAACCCCATCTGCCCAATTTCACATTTGATGACTAGGGTGGCTATGATCTTCTTGTGCTAAAGATAAATGGTTTTATTGCATATAATCCTATTGCTCTATATGTTAAGTCTTTTTATTATAAATTTTGGAAGACTAAACATTTTGTAGATCTCTCATTTATTTGCTTATGCTGTGTATATGTTCAATCTTAGGATATTATTTTTACTTAAATGAATAAAGCAGCGATTTTTTTAATCTTTTGGCATTTCCTAATGCCAAAATTACATGAGTTATACTACATGTATATGGCCATTATTATTAACTTGAAATTGTTGCATTTTTTTTAATGCATCGAAATTTTTTCTTCTATATTTTCAGGTACAGACCACGAAAGTTACAAAGTTGTGTAAGACCACAAATATCATAACAATAAACGGCATGTACCCAGGGCCTGTGGTCTATGCCCAAGAAGACGATCGAGTCATCGTTAAAGTTACCAATCTAACACCACATAATGCCACTATACATTGGTAAACCTCTACATCATCATCTGATTTATCTATTTACTTTTAATATAAAAAATATAAAAAAATCACAATTATCTTTAACTGTTAGATATAAAATCAAACGGGGATCAATGAGCATGTAGAGCATATAACATGCTCTCGCAGGAGCACATGATACCCTTACTCACCTAGGCAAAAGACCCACTTGGGTTTTCTTTGACCTAAAATTTTGAGATCCACTTTAAGAGTGTTTTCGTGCTCCTAAGCACTTTTTTTTAACCCTACAAAATTCGGCAGCCTCTGTTTATTCCCAAGATGTTCTTTTGTTCCATCCAAATATGGTGTCTATCATTTCCATTTTTTAAGGCTGATCTCTAGGGTGAGGTCACCTCCCCACAGTTTTGAGACCTAAAACGGCTCCTGGCTAGGGTTTCCCAGCGGGAATAAACATACATTACGCTCACGCGAGAGTATAGAATCTTTCGGTATTTTGTCCATTAAGAGCTGACTTATGTTAATTTATAGTTTTTTAAAAAAAACAATGCTTATGTTAACTTATGTTTTGTTGCTTCTTTTGTAGGCATGGAGTGAGGCAAAAACTCTCTTGTTGGTTCGATGGGCCATCTTACTTGACCCAATGCCCAATCCAAGCTGGCCAATCTTTCACATATGAGTTTACTTTGGTTGGACAGAAGGGCACCCTCTTTTGGCATGCCCATTTCTCCTGGCTAAGGGCCACAGTATATGGTGCCTTGGTCATTTATCCCAAAAATGATGTCCCCTACCCATTCCCCTCCCCCTATGAAGAACACATCCTCATCATAGGTAAAACCACCATTAACTTCACTAAGTTTGGGTTGCAAATTGAATTAAGCTAACTCGACCTAAGACCATATCCTATTCCAGCTCGAACCTATTGGGTCATGCCAAGTCCAGATCTAATTGACAAGGTTGGCAATGGGTGGGTCGGATCCGGGTCCGGGTCGGGGTCCGGCTAGTGGATCCAAACCCGAATAGTGTTCGGGTCCAAGATTTGGACCCAAACCCAACTTGCTGGGTCCAATTTTTTTACCCATACCCGGACCAGGATTGGGTCTAACCCTTGGGTCCTAGGTTGGGTCTAAGTCCATTGCCACCTGCTGAGCAATTCTTTAGTCAAGCGCCTAAATTAGAGTACTCCAGTAAAGATCTTATGCTGATGGCAATTGGATACACAAAGTTTGAGGTCCATGAGTACGCATGGTTTGTAGGCCCATTGTCCATACTTTATACACATGTTTTCAATTAGCCATCATCATTGCTATTATAAAGCATGCATGTTTTTTTTCTCTGTTTCCGCATGTTTTGAACCAGAAAATTAGGGGGTGAGATGAATGATGGCACAAGAATACAAGGCACACAGTCATTATGCATGTCTGTGAGGTGTTTCATGCCCATCATTCGTGTTCTCATCATTATCATGGTTGTCATCGAGCACGGTTTTGTCAGTTTCTTTTGGGTCTATACTGAATACCCAATAGAAACAGAAATGAAATCCATTTTTCTTTCATAACTAAAGATAAGGAACCCAATCCATCAAATATGAAATCCGACATTTTGTAGTTTGCACAAAATCTGAAGAAACACGGTCAATGATATGCCTTAAGCAATGCAATCCGGGCGACCGATGGCTTTGATCTTTTCTGTATCAAACATAAACAATCTCTTTGAATGGTAATGAAAACAAGCAACCCATGAGTTGATAGCCAACGAGTTCAAGGCCAAGTAGCATAACTCCATCATCATCATCCATCACATTGGAGTTCACTATGGTGATCATCACCATCATAATGTTTACATTTAAAGGTCACCTGGGTGAGCTTATTGCAACAAACTTCAAAGTATCAAACCCCAATATTAGGATTCAGGTGCGTTTGGGGACGCACCTATGGTTGTGAATCCATTTCTCTAAAATCCACTTGAGAGATTTTAGATCGAAAATTCTAAATGTCTATGATCTCAGATGTATCAATCTTGACTGCTACAACCATGAATTTAGAAACAACAAATGATTTTTGAGCCTTAAAAATGGTCCAGTATCCCAACCATTCATTTCAAATCTTCAAAGATCATCAAATCTGAACTGTTTTTAGAGCTCTAGATTCATGAATTTGGGGTTGAAGTGGATTTGCAGTTATTTGAGAAGTGTTAGAAGTCCTCAGTCCCTTCAAAACTGGAGCCAACGCATAATTTGGCGACCTTACCAAGAAACTTTCGGAAAATAAGATATACAATCATCATGTTCTTTTGATTCAAAGAAAAATAAGATATTCCGTTGATATGCAGGTGAATGGTGGAACAAGGATGTCCTACAGATTGAAAGAGACGTGCTAGCGAGCGGAGGAAATCCTCCGGTGGCCGATGCTTATGTCATTAATGGTCAACCAGGACCCCTCTACAACTGCTCCAAGAATGGTAAATCTCTCTCTCTCTCTCTCTCTCTCTCTCTCTCTCTCTCCCCCCGATTACTTATCATTTCCCACTTTTTTATACCACCTGTTTTTTCTGGTTAACTCATATCTCCTATACTACCTTACTCTAAAGAGTCCACACATAGACACTCAAAACTACTTTCTAAACATGGCACTCTTACCTTGTATTCCATTTATAAACAAACTGCCCTTCTACTCCTTATCCACCTTTATGCATTACTAACCCTTGAATATGACCATTGTAGCCCTCATTAATCTACATTTTCCATTGAAAATTGCAGACATCTACATCCTCGAGGTGGTGCCCAAAGAGACCTACCTCCTCCGAATAATAAATGCAGCCTTAAACACTGGGCATTTCTTCGCCATTGCAGACCACAAGCTCACCGTGGCCGAGCTTGATGGAGAGTATACAAAATCATACACCGTAGACCACATAATGCTCGGCCCTGGCCAAAGCGCTAATGTTCTCGTTACCACCGACCAACCCGTTGCCAAATACGCCATGGCCGCTAGCCCTTACATCTCCGCACAAAACGTCTCATTTCAAAATATTTCAGCCATCGCGCATTTCCACTATCGTAATGCCAACCCTAACGGTGTCGCCCTTCCGGCCCAAGTCCCCAACTTCAATGAAAACAGCGCAGCTAACAATTTCGTAACAGGATTAAGGAGCCTTAATGCCGTTAGGGTTCCATTAGAGATCGATACTAATCTCTTCTTTACGGTTGGGCTCAATGTTGATGAATGCCATTCGTCTACACCTAATAAGAGTTGTCAAGGAATCAACGGTGGAGTTAACAAAGCTTCGATGAATAACATATCATTTGTTCGTCCAAGTGTCTCATTATTAGAGGCCTATTATAAGCATATCAATGGGTATTATACAGATGATTTTCCAGGTGTACCCCTCAAGAATTATGATTTTGTCAATGGTGCCCCTAACAATATACCAAATGACACCCAGGCCCTCAATGGCACCAGGGTCTATGTATTGGAGTATGGGACTAGGGTTCAGCTAATACTTCAGGATACTGTGATAGTTGGGGTTGAGAACCATCCCATACATCTGCATGGGTATAGCTTCTACGTGGTAGGGTCCGGCAGTGGGAACTACAATCCTCAAAGTGCAAATTTCAACTTGGTGGACCCACCATATCGGAACACAGTAGGCGTCCCAGTCGGAGGATGGGCCGCCATCCGTTTTGTCGCAGACAATCCAGGTACTCACTCTCCAACTCCATCGTATCTCTGAAAGCTTTCTTTTTCTCACTTTATCCAACATCCCATGATTTTAGAGGCATGTAAAGGATAGAAAACACCATGTGTATATACAATCTAATTATCTTCAGACAAGCTTTAGGTCTAGGGATGAAAAGATCTAATGGTTTTATGTTATTGTTGTTTGTGATTGACTTCTTCCCTTTCTCTGGGTCTTGTACAGGGGTTTGGTTCATGCATTGTCACTTTGAGATTCATTTGTCTTGGGGTCTTTCAATGGCTTTCATAGTGAAGAATGGTGATGGACCACTAGAGAGTCTCCCTCACCCCCCTGCTGACCTGCCCAAGTGCTAGAAATTCATAACTTGAAGGCAATTGAGAGAGAGAGTTTTTCTCATTGTTTTGTGAATTGCTGCAGCTTTCTGATTCTTTTAGCACCCACAAGGTTAATACTTGGTGCCAAGTATTTGCTAGAAGCCTGCGTTGTTGAACTTCTACTATTGGATTAGAAATAAAGACAAAGATCATAGTGCTTTGCTCATTGATGCAGATATTGTAAAAGAACATGATTCGAGTTTGTTTTGTGGGGTGTAGCAGATTCCCATTTCTCTTAGCAAACACGGTATGAAGACTTTGTTAAGTATTGTTGTTAAGCTCTGTAATATTGTCTTGTAACTTTTAACATTGGATTTGACAATAAAGGCAAAAAAACAGACCATGCTGCATGGCCTATTGATGTCCAGTATTTGCCTTTTATTGGTGTCTCTTTTTCAGAATATAGATCACTGATTTGCTCTGCAACAGAAAGAAAAATGAAAGATGGGAAAACTTTAATAACTATGTGACACAAATAACCTTAGGCTTTCTCAACATAATGCACAAATATATCAAAGCAGCTATAAACTAATCTACTGAAATTAACTCAAAGTAAGTCATACAACAGTTAATAAAATAATATTTTAAATTTCAAAAAAAAAATTTAGTCTGCTGACTGTAAATTTCAAAAAAATAAATAAATAAATTCAGGAGTTAATCATGATTCATCAACCAAAATTTCTCAGTTGCAAATGCAGACGTCTTGAGTACGCTTTTTTTCTTTTTCTCAAGTGAGTTGATACAATATCTTTCTTTGGGCAAGGATACATAGATGAAATTTAAAAAATGTGAATGGACGATGCAGATTAAGTACCTCACTATACCAGCAATGTAAGATAAACTGGCACGTCCCAAAAGGCAGATGAACATGTGCAGCACAAAAGATCCAGAAACGAATCTGTACAAGATGGCAGGTAATTTCAGCGATTGGATGCACAAGGTCCATCAAGGTCTTCAAGACCACAATTTTGCCAGTCCTGTTAATTATTGAAAGCACATGATCATATAATTCAGAAAATACAGGTATTACTTCACAATTTTGAATTTGCTCTATTCCGGGGAACAAAAGCGAAAATCAGCTGGCATTTCTCACTGTCGTTAAAACAAAAATGGTATTGGTGCCTAAACATCCGGCGGGACAAATAAAAGACAAAATAAGAATTGATCATAGTACAAAGTGAAAACTCAAATTTCAATCGTTAGAAATTCCACTTCTTAGACACCTAAAACTTTCCTATTTTTCATTAAATGGTGCCATTCATATAATGGAGGAGGAAAAAATTCACAAACAGAGAAAACTTGAATGAAATTCAAAGCTATAATCAGAATTTCCATTCAGACACCGGCCCTAAGCCGACTTGTAGGCCAAGAATTATAAACTGAAACTCCATAAAATACCAGCACAACAAATAAAAGGGGGAGTACAGTATATATAGTCCAATATTCCCTTGGACTACAGAAGGATACAGTTCATTGGGATCATCATGTCTAAGGAAATGAAGGGTGGTTACAGACAGTATAACCCAGCATCTTTTTTCATTTTCTTTGGGCGGTGAATTTTTATTTTTTATTTTGGTTTGGGTCAGTTCCTGTTATGATAGGTCCCATACACTCATGATCCCAATGGATTAGAGTAAACCTTTGCTGAATACAACATGTAAATATAAACTTACCTGGTAAATTTCTAGAAGGGCCAGAGATCACCCCATAGAGACCTACGAGCTTGGTGGTGCAAGGTCGGATTTTTACTCTGAGTGACAACCACCCTTTGAAAGGCACCTTGAGAGCCATCGAGTGCAGTAGACCTGCACACATCCATGGTTATTTGCTTCCCCCTTCTCAATGGTGTGAAAATTATGCGTCCCCATCCACTCCCAAGGTCAGCTGGTTGGTCATCTTGCTCCACTTCCTCTTCCTCTTCCAAAGGTGTGTCGGTTTCAGTCACAGAGGCATCACTGCTTAGGTACTCTTCGTATGGGACATCCTCAGCTTCAGTGTCAAATTTGAACTGATCCTCTATATATCACAAAGCAAACAAATCATTTGTCAGCCTGCTTTCTTTTTGGTAAATCCCTTGGCGTGGTGAAACCAACAATGAGAAACCACGATGACAAATTTGTTTTCGGGCAGCGATCTTGGGGTGACGAAACCAACGATGACAATTTACTTTTGCTCTATGTGTGTGTGTTTGTCAGGCAGAGGCAGATGAGAATTTCTGGCTGCCCATGCTCAGAGAGAGAGAGAGAAAGAGAGAGAGAGAGAGAGGAGGGGAGGGGGGGGGAGGAGTTGCCAGACAAAATTTACGAGTGGTAGCCGTAGCTCACGTCCAGTAGCGTTCGGTCCATCTCTGCAACAAGTTGAGAGAGAGAGAGAGAGAGAGAGAGAGAGAGAGAGA